TCAGTTTATTTTAATCAAGATATCCACAAAGAAACAGGTTTGAGTCACATCAAAATTGCTGCACACTTACATTTGAAGAAACAGGTTTGAAGTCACATCAAGGTTGCTTCACACTTACATTTTAAGAAACAGGTTTGAGTCACATAAAACTTGCTGCCCACTTACATTTTAAGAAACAGGTTTGAAGTCACATCAAAGTTGCTGCACACTTACATTTTAAGAAACAGGTTTGAAGTCACATCAAAGTTGCGGCACACCTACATTTTAAGAAACAGGTTTGAAGTCAAATCAAAGTTGCGGCACACTTACATTTTAAGAAACAGGTTTGAGTCACATCAAACTGGCATGTTACATTTTAAGGTTATTGAATAAAAGTACGTTATCCAAAGAATGTCCGAATCCGTTGTACATTTTTACAAGTAATCAAACACTGTGAGGTGTATATTACATTCAATGTTTTCTATAACTTCCTAACTAAGACACACATGTCGCTACAGTCGCTACCTTTTTTTTGTTGTTATTGTTATTACAACACAGTGACAGCAGACAATATGCATGAAAACACACAAGAACATAGAAAGATATTGCTTTAAGAATGGTTATGATTAGAATTTGGGATTGACAGTAACACTGACTAGTTTATAAAAATATATAACAGCCTCCGAATTGATAACGTATCGCGTGAATAAGACGGTGTGAATATTCAGTAGAACTTAAATGTTTCTCTCGCTAGGGTAATAGTCACTTATTCGGAAACCATATATCAAGGAATATACAGCCACTGTATGTATTAAAGGTATTGCGATACAGCGATACGATACAAGTATCGTATCGTGAAGTCGTGATACGATACAATATATGTATCTTCACAAAATTCGACAAGATTTCAGTAAACATCACAAGTCTTTTGTACAGAAAAAATCAGAATTTCTAATAAAGTATTTTTGCTAAAAATTAATGATTCAATAAAGGAAGATGAGTATTGAGTACTAAACGTTGTCTTCATTTATCAAAAACATTACGTGCAAAGTAACGTAACAAATTAACAATAACAAAATAGATAGACAGATATTAACTTTGTTATTTTACTTCTCTGTCATTTAGTTGATCAAACCTGAGAATTTGAAAAACCACTGGTGAAGTGTGAAGTACTTAAATAAGACAATGTTATTAGTAATATAGATAATAAATTACAGACAAGACTGTCAAACATTGTAACAAACCGTTGGTAAAACTTCTGTATCTAGAAACGCATCGTATCGACTACTATGACGAGATACGCACCCCTATTATGTATGGTGTGACTCTCCATTGACCTCATTAATGTCAACAGTCAGTTCATAGACCTCTTAAACAGTCGTCGACAATATCAAAAAGCTAAAAGTCAGCAGTATTTTCAATAAATAGTAAATATAATACACACATTTTCTAAATGTCTAACACTATCCCACAAATGGTGAAACGTAGGGGCTCAATGGAGAAACGTTTATCTCCAGCTGATAAACTGAACTGGATGAAACAAGAGTTACTAAACAGTTGTAGCTGTTGGTGGTCGAACAGCCTAAATTACTATAATTACCACAAATATACTTCAACTTTTCAATATCATTTATTAATCATTTGACATTTAAAATGTCTGTAGACGCTCTTTTTTTACGATAAAAAGTCTACTTTATTATAGTACTAGATACATTGTGTATTTTACTTATAAACGTGTATTAGTTTTATAATTACATCACAGTCAACCTATGCTAACACTAATTGTCACAAGCCTGTTTTAAATGCGTGTATCGGTGAGTTAACATTACCTGACGTCAGAGTGTTGAACCCTCTATTAGTGCGCGTAATTTACACGTTATTCTTCACACACAATAATCCCAAAGATTAAGCATGTTACTGGCATGTTTATACGTTATTAAGCCAACTGCTTTATGTCAGTAAGTGTTAACACGAGAGACGCGTGGATGTAATTCAAATCCTTTATGTGCTTAAGTCATTCATGCTTAAGGTACTGACTGATTTTATTGTATTTTAAATTCATATTCTAGCGTTTCATAATGTATGTGGATATTGAGTTTGTTTCAAGTACAACCGTCTCTATCTCGGAGAAAAACCGGACGTAACCTGGTAGTAGGTTTGTTTCAAGTACAACCGTCTCTATCTCGGAGAAAAACCGGACGTAACCTGGTAGTAGGTTTGTTTCAAGTACAACCGTCTCTATCTGAGAGAAAAGCCGGACGTAGTAGTAGAAAAACCTGGTAGTAGGTTCCGGGCTGCGGATCGCGTGGTCCAATATTTGATCTGAACAAGCTCTGCATTTTCGGCTGTGGGGACGTTATAACTAAGACAGCCATTAACACTATTTCGTTAAGAATGGCCTTATGGGCGATGAGTACTTCTGACTGACCTCCCTCCGGTCAGCAGTTATAAATTACGAATGACCACACCCGAGCCTAGGAGTTTGTCTTCAACATTTAGCCCATGTTCCACATAAGGTCTATTATAGGTTTAAAATCTAGGAGAAAGTATCATTATTCTGGGCGTTTACAGAGGCGATTATTTTACGTGATGCAGTAAAAAATATCGAAGTTTGGAACTTAATCCCACAACTTGAAAGAGTAAAAGGATAAGAATAGTCTTTTACATGAAGAGCCAGTAATAAACAAAAATTAAACTTAAACGTTTGGACGAAGATCTTCATATTTCACGTGACCTTTCATGGAAATCTAGAACAAAATGTGTCCAATTTTAATTCCACATTATAATTCTAAAGACCTTAAATGCACACACTGTATAGTAACATATTGAACTAACACATTAGCTCTCAAACTGAAACATTGTTATACGATAAGAAAAACGAAACAGGAAAAACTTAAGAACTAGTTTACACTACACAATAAAATTACAGATTCTCCCCTAGAGCTACGAACTTGAAATTTTGACATCCTCCTGACAATGACGTTGCTTGTTCCCAAGTGATGTATTTGTAGATGGACGTGATAACTTATATCAATCGTATGTTTTTCGCTATTAAAACAGTCTTTAACAGGCTCCTCACAAGCCAGTGGGGACATTTTTGTTGAAAATAAAAACTACCCAATTCGGTTTTTTCTTAATTTGAACTGAAATTTTTGGACATTTTTATTGGCTAAAAAGAAAGCATGTCCCGCACTCTTTTAGCGTTAGGGCTGCGAAAAGTGATTTGAAGTGGTAAAGTGAATGAAGTCCGTCAGCGCATCAAGAGTTTAACGGCCAAGTACAACAAGGATGGAAGTCTCCAAACGACAAGCAGAGGTTTTCAGGAACGGTTTAGAACCACCTTGGTAGATTTTGTGCAGCAAGCCGTGTAGAATATTATGCCTGTAGCTGCTTTCAAAATGTTCCTGTCTGCTCATCCTACTGCTGACTATCGTGATGCTTCGACCTTCCCTACCGAATCGCAGGTGAAATCGTTCGGATCTCAATTGAAAGCTAAACATAAAAAGGTGATAGTAGAAGCATAAGAGGTGGGCAATTGCTTACTTAATGATGCTGAGAATGTGGATTTATTGATATATACTGAATTTACTCCCAGCGGGTAGACCTTAGTACTAGCTAGTATGGAGACTTGAGGATGCTGTATTTCACTTAAATATTTATCAATTAACAAATGAAAACTTGTCTCGAAGTTGTCCGGAAAAGATACGCTCTTTGGAAGTTTCCGGATTGAACTTACTTTTAATATTCAACAAATTGTATTGTAAAGACATCCCTTGGCTCCTGAGGGACGTGTTAAAAACAGACCTTGATTACAGAGAAACGGGATATACTTACACACGTTTGATCTGTCCACACAAACACATTTTAAATAACAACGTTTGGTATGCAAAAGACCATACCACATAGTTAAAAATAAATTATTTAATATTATACACATGCTGAAATATAAAAGTATATTAAACGTAAAACTCAACACGGGTAAGGTACTGAAATCAGAACAAAAGTGAATGAACGAACTGACACTTTATGAGTAGAAAAATGGTTCACGTTAACCTTCGTGACACTAGTAAAAACTGCGCAGGAAGAATAGTTTGTATCTTAATAATGTTTAACCATATTGCAAATTGAACACTCCGCTAATAATGATTAAATTCGTGCATCTGTTTCTTGGAGGGTGGTTTGTGGAAACTGTATGTACTTTTATTTTATTTAACTATATAATTATACGTACATATAAGAAAAAGTGGTTTTCCACACCTTAACTCTTGTATTAAATATAATTAATACTTAATACATTAGTTAATAATGTAATAGTGCTAACATTTTCACATCTACTCCTCACTACAAACGTGCAAATTAAATCGATATCACATGTGCCTTTAACCTGATTCTGATTGGTTCTTACTTTGGTGGTCATCAGTATAGGTCAAATGCTGACCAACAGCTTCCTCAATCTGTCTATAATACGACACTCACTAATTTAACAGGAATGTCTGAGTATTAAACACTTCCTAGCCAAGGATCTTTTCATCATACACAGGTTAACTTGAGATGACTTTGCTGATAGAAACAGCTAACAAAGTTTTGTAAACCACATAGAGAGAGTTAGAAACATGCATTTTGTACCCATATATCTTTTTGTCCTGAATGAAACTAACTTACATGTGATGTTTTGCTTTATAGATGTGACATTTTACTGCATGATTACTTGAATACTTATTCAACCTAGATAGTTTAATAAATATTTACAAATATAAATAATTAAATAAATCGTATGTTACTTATTTCACAAATATCACTCTTATTAACACCAGATCAAATAATGGAATGTAATTTTTTTTTCTTCTTGTGGAAAATTGGAATTGTATTGCAGTTAATAGAGATTTTGTCAAACAAATTTTATAAACAACAACAAAAAAAGGATACGAAATATTCACTTCAACAACGTAACAAAATACGTAAAATACTTTTATAAAATAATTATATCAATATATATATATTATGAAATCTAATTTTTTTAAGTATTAAATCCATTGGTGCGATTATGGTGATGCACACATTATTGCCCGTTCTTCACGACCATTTAGTCTACAAAGCTAAGCTACAAAAGTGCATATCTATCCTCGTGGTGCAGATGATTTCACGACTGTCAAGACGCAGCAAAGAGGACTATATACTGTTGAGCTTTGATAAAATATTGTTTGTGACGTCAACGCTGTAACTTAACAAGGTAAGTACTTGATTTTTTACGTCAAAAATCAACAGGCGGTAATAAGTAATAACCAATCACATCACCAGTCTCCATTCAGACTGTTCGGTGTATCACAAAGAATGTCTTCTTGCACGATGGAAACACTTGACGTTAGATGGCGCTGCATGCATGAGCAGAATTAGGATGTTGTTAAATTACCGACTGAAATTGTTGAAAGAGTTGGTGAAGTAGAACTTGTTGAAGGCGACATTGGCGAGGGGGCGCTGCTACTGATGACTGTCACACAAGACACATTGATACTGCTGACTCCAGCGCTATCTTGTGGTTGAGGTTTTTCTTCTTCCGTCCACTTGTCTTGAGAGCGCCGCCTGGCGTTCATGAAGAAGTTCCCCACCGTGGTTAGATCGAGCCCCAGTTGTTGCCCTATGGTGATCTGCATCTCTTTCGAAGGTCGCTTGGTCTCCTTGAAGATAGCTTGTAGCGTCCGCCGCTGGAGGTCGGTAAAGACAAGACGTGGCTTCTTGGGTTGGCTATGGTTCTTCTGTTGAGGAGCTTCTTCCTTTCGCTTGCAGGCTAAGGAAAGATGAAATATAGACAATGAAATATGTAACATGCAACAAACATGCCCGAGCTGATATTAGTTAGAAAAAACAAACAATTTTAATTAGCATTGTATTCTATACAGTTTTTAGAAGCGAACTAAGTTCATAATTCAGTTAACACAAAGGGATTTTTTTTATATATTTAACCTTAATTGACTTAAACACCCAAAACATTTCAACTAAACCAAAATCACTCCTACATTGTTAATGCATTACCTAGCTGGAGGGGTGGACAATACGTGTTCATTCTTTATAAACACTGCTATATTATCAAATAGAAACGTACAATCATAATTCCGGTTAACTTGTGACATACGGACACTCGCCAATATGCAGTACATAAATTATAAAACAACAACAAAATGTTTTGTTTTTTTTCAGCTGTCGTTGACCAACTTGCACACAAAGAAAAGTGGTAAATCAAGAATAAAAGGCAACAAGTGGAGACTTACTTATACCAACACACTTGGATGATTCCAGCTAAGTCCAAAAGAACGTAACAAGCTTTCACTTAAAGAAGCCCCCCAGTGGCACAGCGGTATGTCTGCGGTTTCGATACCCGTGGTGGGCACAGCACAGATAGCCAATTGTGTAGCTTTGTGCATAAATTCAAACAATAATCTCGGAAACTGAAAACAGGGGTTATTTTCACCAAGAAATAAAACGTATGGTAGTTTTTCTTTAAAAAAGAATCATCTGTACTCTCTATAGAGTGGTGATTCTGTAGAGCAAGCTACCTGAAATTCACCTTGTTCCTTTAACACTGAAAGACTAGAGGAAAGGCAGCTACTCATCGCCACCCACCGCCAACTCTTGGGCTACTCTGTTACCAATGAATAGTGGGATTGACATTATAACGCATCCACGGCTGAAAGGGCGAGCATGTTTGGTGGGACGAGGATTCGAACCCGCGACCCTCAGGGATCTATATTGATAATTAGATTATATCTTTGAGGTCAATAGGTTATAGCTGTGAGGTCAATAAGTTATTGCTGTGAGATCTTTAGGTTATATATGTGAGGTCAACGACCAACACAGTCTGGCTAGCTATGAATCTAACGACTTAAAAATCCTTACATTTCAAGTTCCTGAGTGAAGGTGGTTCTGTAAATATAGGTAACACGGAAGAACCCAGTCATAACGGCTAAAATAGTTGATGTCATTACAAAAAATAATCAGAAAATTAGGTATCGATTCTCGATACCTCACTACTATAAAAGCTTGGTTTGGTTTGAACTTTCATTGGTGGTAATGTCCAGGGTCACTGCTGAAGAGTGGAATTCTCCGAAACTTTTGTCTGGCTCACAAACACACCCCCAATGAAAGAATAGACAATTCCAAGCTTTTACTTGTTGTTAAACAAATGTTTAAACAACTTTATTCAATTACGAAATTTGATGGTATGTATGACAATAACCGCTTATACATCTAATATATCTAAAAGCCAAAAGGAAAGCCAACTCTTACTTTCTGAGTATTCGAGCAGATTTTGACGGTGAACTTTTGGCAACTGTTTATGTGGCAAACAACTTAAAAACAGCATAATCTCTTTCTGGATTTCACCCGTTTTTATTTTGTGATACTGGGTTTAGTGCGTCTATTTCCCCACAGATAGCAGCACAATAGCAGTGAGTGTCGCAACAGAAGTTAGGAGTTAAATAAGTGAATTAATTTAATTTACTTCTTCGTATTGTAATAGTTTTGTGTGTACGTTGCTATATGCTGTATCATTGTTGATCCACGTTTCGTGAGTTCCACTTGAAAAGTCTTATTTCTAATGAACACTGTGATGACAACAGAGTTGGGTGATACAGTAAGAGATTACGGGTGAGCAGAGTAAACGATGCTCGCTGCATTAGTCGTTCTTCAACCTGGACATTTATTTAACGTTTCACACTTCTTTTATATTATGTACACGAATATCTATTTACCAAGAGTACAATTCAACCACACTGTATCTGCTATATCCAGTACCGACGAAGGGTTTTCACCCAAATACAAGACAGGGATACAACATACACAATAGTAGATTAGCTGATTATTTATTTAGTTCTTAATTGTTTTTTTTTCCTTGTCAAAGCGATGAGTAAAGGGCCACATCGAAACGCTAGTTGTTTTCTCAAACTGTATGGACAACAACACTTCATCAATTTTATACGAGTCACTTACAAATCAGAAATAGAGCAAGGATTAATAACACACTATTATTCAATTGGTTTAAACACATGTTATTCATTATAAATAAATTTATGAATATGTCAATTTCGATAGAATTGAAATACTCAGATATTTACAAATTTATTGGAATAAAATGAAACAGTTGATTATAGGTTTGTATCAAAGGAAAACATGACGTACCCAATGTTATCATTGGTTTGGATGGCAATATGCAAAATTCTTGAGAGTGAAGTATTCATAAACCTAAATTTTTGTTGATGATGTTTTCAATATTTATTTATTGTAAAAAAATACAGCTTAAAACGTGCATTAGTGTGGCGTTTAATACGAGTAACCATGTATGGTGTTACTTAGTTTTCTTCAAGTTATTATGAAGTCTGTTATAGAAATCTGTCTACGGATTTACAAAACTACAATCAGAGGTTCGATTCCCCTCGGTGGACACAGCAGATAGCGCGAAGTGGCTTTGCTATGAAAACACGCACCCTGTTATAGGAGCAAATTAAAGCCGTGATCTGCATTTCACTGATCGGCCTTCCTAGTCACGTGAATGTAGCCAGTACTAGTGATTTCACTGACCAAAGTTTTAACTGCTGGCTTATGACTTTGGTACCAGCAGTTTCACACCCACTTTTCAGCGTTCAAATTAGAACTTTGTCCCAGCAACTAGACAATGGTTGAAGACCTCACGTGCATGTAATCAGGTAAACATGCTAGCTTGTAGTAACTTCTGTCATCAGTCAATGGCAGAGGAAGATCCCGGTGATCGAGTAAGGTGTTGTTACTCCATTAAGAAACCTGAGTTGAACTGGCACATTTACACGTGTTAAGAAAACATTTCTTTTGGCTTAGGGTAATTGCTGCACCATTGCAGAGGCAACGACACCTACTATGTTTCATTTGTTGACACCTTGTTTTACAATTTTTCTAAGTATAATTCAGTTGTAGTCAACCAGGACATGACCCTAACCCTGCGTTGTTTGGCAGTATTTCTGACCTATAAGACATGACGTTTTCAATTCTAACTATCGCTGTAAGTGTCCAATTTCTTATCCTAGTTGGATATATTGTTTTTCACTTAACAAGTCAGAATATCTTATCTATCCTGACTGCCCAATCAGCATGAAAAACTAGATGTCCAGATGAGGAGTTTTACTGAATACTCCATCACGCTATCTCTGAACCAACTCACCAGAAATGAGCCAGTTAAAAAAGTCCTACTGGTTCTAAAGTCTCCAAACACGAAGCAACAACTTCATTACCTACCCAGGGTTAAACCACATAAAAACAGCTTCTGTGTACATTATTTTCAAGTGAACTGAACCTAACAGGTAAGTTGCTAATGTACAAAAATAAGGTGTTCATTAAGACTCGTTTAGCATAGTTGTAGCTTGGCATGGTCTGGTGGTTAGGGCGCTCGACTCGCAATCTGCTAGTAACGGGTTCGAATTCAGGTTGGGTTTCTGTATAATTGGCTATCAAACAAGAAGACGAACGTCAATGGATAAATATCAACCTCATCCTGATAAGTTCACTGAATGAACACCAAGCCTATTCTGATAACTTCACTTGAAAAATATAGGCTTGGTGTTCTTTCAGTAAAGTTATCAGAATAGGCTTAGTGTTCGTCCAGTAAAGTTATCAGAATATGTTTGGTGTTCGTCCAGTGAAGTTCATCTTCTTATCTAGTAGTCATTTGTACAGAAACTCAACCAGAAAGATACAAAATCGCCAAAGTATTTGTCAATATAGACGTTCACTTTCCAAATTGTTTTGTCTTATTTACTCAAAAAATTCGTTTTCATTTGTGAACCATTTGTCTAAATTTTTTATATTCACTATTTTTATTGCAACTAAATTAAATAAATGTTAACGAACATTTTATTTTTGTGAAAATACCACACTATCAAAAAACATGATGTTTCGATTTTACACTTTTACCAAAAACTTCACAAAAGCTGGACTGGTATTGATTAAGAAAACAAAACAAAAAAGGTCTATGTACGTTTAGAGTTAGAACAAAATAACACCATCAAAGGCTGATGTAAAATATTATTGGAACTAGTCTTACTTAGCAGCGGTGATTAGATAAAAACAACAAAGACAAAACAGCCTCCCAGTGGCACAGCGATATATCTACAGACTTACAACGCTTGAAATCAGGTTTAGATACCTGTGGTGAACAGAGCACAGATAGCCCGTTGTATAGCTTTGTGTTTAACTACAAACAAACAATACAAAACAGAATCCGTTTAACTTGACATGACATAATGTTTTGGGATAACATGGTACCTATTAGTCCATCTCAGCCGTTCCATCCTCCAAACTAAACTAAAACTATTAATAAAAAAAAATTCTTAAAGCCAGCCTTTTTCCTTCATATACTTATCAAACTTTCTCTTAAACTCACATAAACTTACTGCCTCCATAACATCCGAAGGCAACTCATTCCAAAAGCCAACAACCCTGTTAGAAAAATAAAACTGTCTTAGCTGAAGATAACTCCTATCCTGCCAAATTTTACACTTATGTCCCCTAATCATATTATTCTCACTGTTAAATACGAAAAAAAGATGATACATCAACGCTATCAGTTCCCTTTTCAATCTTAAACACCTCAATCAGATCCATTCTAACTCTTCTTTTTTCCACGCACAAAAAAAAAATAAAAAAAATTGAGAGATTTCAACCTCTCTTCCTATCACAACCCCTCCATCCCAGGCACCATTCGGGTAACCCTTCTCTGAACACTTTCCAACAATTCAATGTCCTTCCTGAGGTAAGAAGCCCAAG